ATAGATAGATAGATAGATAGATAGATAGATAGATAGATAGATAGATAGATAGATAGATAGATGATAGATAGATAGATAGATGGATGCTGAGTAGGTAGTTCATTTAGAAAAATCACACTTATTTAGATGACCACTTGGTAGGCTGTATGAACTTAAATGATTTAGGATTGAGAAGTAGAGCCCAAAGGCTTAATTAGTTTTGATCACGGTTCTCAGGGCCTGCTTCTCCATGGGAACATGTCGGTACTTCTTACAGCATGATAAAAAGGCCAGCAGACCCTTTACCACAATTTCATGCAAAACATCTACAGATTTCACACTCATTTGGACTTGGTAAAAAGGGGATGATATTGGCTATAAAAACCACTTGTAAGCACAGGCACCATGCCTAGCCAACTCAAAACAAACTCAGTGGCATTTGGGGACATTTTTAAACCCTACTGGCCTTTTGGTTATATATTATAGATTCCAATTTTGTGTTTTTATGGATTTTCTCGCCCACCTCTATGTGCATAAGTCTATGTATGTATGTGCTTTTTGTGTATGTGGTTTTTCTTTGGTTTTTCCTTCTCACCTCTGTTTGCTTGTTTTATTTGCCATTTTCTTCTCTAATGTGAGAGAAGTCATGGAACTGGATGGAGAGGTGGGAAGGACCAAGGAGGATGCAAGGGCAGGGAAACAGTGATCAGAACATACTATATGAAAAAATCTTTTTTTCTGTGTTAAGGGTATTTGTTTTTTAAACAGGGTTTCTCTGTGCAGCTTTGAGCTGTCCTGGAACTTGCCTTGTCGACCAGGCTGGCCTCAAACTTAGAGACCTGCCCACCTCTGCCTCCCAAGAGCTTGCACCAGCATACTTAAAATGACTATTAACATTCTAATTTTGTCCTGGAGATGAGAAGCAAAGAGAAGACACCTGCTAAAAACAGACCACAGTGGACAAGAATCCTTTTACCTGTGGGGAAATCAGGTACAACTAACCATGCTAGGCCTCTCCCCACTCACAATGGTTCAGCTTTAGCATTCACTCAGGCATCTGCCCACTTATGCTGAAGGTTCTCCTCACTCAGTGGCTGAATCACATGTCATAGGTGCTATAGTAAAACAAGACCAGAGTGGGTACCATTTTAATGACTGGTTTTAGCTTAGTAGGGGAGAGCATTTATCACACTCAAAAAAAAAAAAAAAAAAATCCAAGGGTAGGATGTAGCTCAGTGGTAGCACACTTGCCTAGCGTGTGCAGGGCTAGGGCATTCCTGTTCCATGACAGCCCATCACAACCAAGGCAAGAGCCTATGCCACTTCCTGACTTCCTAACAACGATGCTTCCAGTGTGACACAAACAAGGCTGCCATGACAGAGAGGCGGCCACCTCAGCTGATCCCCACGTTCACAACTCCACGGCTCTCCGGCATAGCTGCAGTTTTGCTTAATCAATTTTTCCTGGTGAACAATTTCACACTCACAACCATCTGGCAAGGAGACGGCTATCGATCACAGATCCATAGAGCTCATAAATCCATGGATTGTTTGACTCAGTTCACTTCATGGGAAATACAATCTACAAAGCAAACACTGATTGCTCTGAGATGACTGCTGACTGGAGTGAGCAGAGCAACGGTTTCAGCTTCTAGCAAGTTTGCTAACTCAAGGACTCCACAATAAGCCCCCAGTACAACAGCTGCCTTTCACAACCTTCTCTATCTAAACCACACAACGTATCTGATAACGTATCTCCCAGATAGTGTGACAGTTCCCTGGTCCACAGCCACACACCCTTCTGTGACTGACAGACTTCTACACACCAGTGGCAACCCTCCCACGAGACTGAATGACGCTTCAGCCATTTGCTTTTCTCCAACAGCACCTCTGAATACTTGGGGGCAGGTCAATTATACAACAATATCAGACTCCAAGATCCTTTCCTCAGTTTCAAAACTACAAAAGGTCATTGTTGACCTAAAGTGATGCCACATAAGGAGCAGAATGACAGAATTTTTTTTTCCTTTTTATTTCAAGGTCATTAAAAGTCTAGTTGTAAAACTACCTAATTTAAGGAAATGTGATGAGCTCTCAAGCACAGAGACCTTCTTCGGTCTGACTGTGCTCACTCCCGGCTGCAGAGAATGTAACAGGTGACCCAGCAGTGGCAGGGTTCCTGGGACCCCTTTGAGAACTACTGCTGCTGGCCACTGTGTTTGTCTCTGGTCCCTACCTGAAAGATAAAAAGTATCTATTGAGATAGATAAGGGACACTCAGATTTTAAACAAACACTGGGTGGGTAACTGTCTTGTGCAATAGAATTAATCAGACTCTCTGAAAGTCCACAGACTCTTTAGAGCTGAGCGGTGAGAACCAAAGAGACAGGTGTCGGGTCGGACATTTTGCCTACTGGCTACAATCACTAACATTAGTGCCCCTGGGCCTTATCTTCCTCACTAGAAAACCGCAGATGAAGTCTCCTGGTGGCGGGTGACTGTGAGGGCAGCCCTCATGAATAAACACTGAGAGTGAGCTCATAATTGCAAGGGTATGGCTGTCATGAAAGCAAACTTGTCATCTATCACACGTATATAACCTCTTCACCCTTCTGCCATGTAAAAATATAGCCATCTTCAGATGTGGCTCATGGCCCTTAGGTGTTTCTGTCCTAATGGCACTGGTACAGGAAGCCAGGTGAGGCACTTGCCATCTGCCAATATCCTTGCCTCTCTTTGGGAAATCAGCAGTGTCCTGAATCCTACTCTGTAGGCCCAGATAAGCTGAAAAGCCAATGCAATCAGAGGCACTGCTACTCAATGACATGAAAGCACATGCTCTTCGCACACTCTAGGACGAGAATAGGAGTGGTGGCTCACAATGACATCATCAGTAGATATTCTAAGATGTCATGACAAGTAAGTGGGCACAGGAACAGCGTTTCAAAATCAATGGATGGTGCTGGAACAACTCAGTATCCGTATACAATGGGACCTTGCTTCATATCATGTCTAAAAAAAGCCACGGAGATGGCTCAGCAGGTAAGGGCCACCATGTCTGGCAAGCTGAGTTCAGATCCAAATGGTGGAAAGAGAGAAATGACTTTCCAAAGTTGTCTTCTGACCTCCATCTGCACGTGCTCACATGGGTACACACACATAGACACATATATCAAAAATGGTAATAATTAGGCTGGGCAGCGGTGGTGCACACCTTTAATCCCAGCATGTGGGAGGCTGAGGCAGGTAGATCTGGGTTTGAGGCCAGGCTGGTCTACAGAGTAAGTTTCAGGAAAGCCAGGTCTACAGAAAGAAACCCTGTATAATAAATTAATAATAGTAGTAACAATAAGATAAATGCAAATTTAGAGCCAGGTGTATTGGTGCATGCTTTAAACCTAACACTGGAGAGGCAGGGACCGATGGAGAGCTCTGTGAGAGGGAGGACAGTCTGTGCTGCATAGCAAGTTCCAGGACAGTCAGGGTTATAGAGAGCCTGTCTCCAAAGAAAACAGGTAAATAAATACATTTAGAAAAAAAATATTTTTAAAGTTGATCAGAAAACTATATCTAAGGAGGAAACTACTATCTGTCCAGAAACAGATGCAAGAAAATTGTGAGACACTGGTTCAACCATACACATGAGAAAATTGTTGAGATACTGGTTTAGACACACACACATACATACAAGAAAAAAATGTTGACATTGGTTAAGGCAGACGCACACATGAGAAAATTGTTGAGACACTGGATTAGAAAAAGACATCTTAACATTTAAAAGCATAAACTATAAAAGACAAATTTGGTTAGATAAAGCAGATTTGATTATATAGAGATACTCTTTAAATGACATAGTTAAGAAGACAAAAACTCTGGAATTAAAAGCATATAGATGATAAAGACTTATCATATCCATTCCCATTGTCTAAAGACCTTTTTTCAACTTAGTAAAAGAAACATAAATTGCCCAAAGACTTGAACACACTCCACATAAGATACAAAGAAAGGCAAATCACGTGAAACAATATTCAGACTCATGAGACATCAAAGAAATGCAGACAGAAACCAAAATGGACACCACAGAAGAATCATTACATACAAACATTGGCAAGAGTGTGGAAAACAGGAATATTCTTACATCACTCATAGGAACGAAAATAACTCATAAGTGGCATATGTATGTACCTGATAAAGCACACAAATCTCTTAGTCCAACAATTAACTCTAGCCCTAGATAGCCACAAGAAATTAAAACATATACCTGCCTATTCAGAAAAGCATTAAGCATAATAATAAACTGAAAGCAATCAAATAGGCATCAACTAATGGATCAGTAAACAAATTGTGATACACATTTACCTTAGAATACTGAACTTCAAATTAAAAATACAAATGGTTTACCCATAAGTAAAAACAAAAAAATGAAAAAAGACAATGTAAAAGAGCATATTGCTTATTATATTCAACTTAACATGAAATTTTAAATGAGGTAACACTACAGTGGCAGAGGAAGATTTGTGACTGGCAAGAGCCAAGAGAAAGAATCCTTTAAGGCCAAAGAGGTTTTTTAGGGTAAATACTTTCTACACGCGGCTCTGACTGTGAGTGCCCAGATGGTAATAACTATCAAAATTCTAAGCTTATGTACTTAGAACTTGTGAATCTAAAACAAATCGATGTGTTCTGTGATGTTTGTGGGCCTGAGAGGAATATGAGCTCTCTATCCTTGACAAAGTACACACAAATAAAAGCCCACTGGATAATTGACAATGCAACCAACTTCTGGGGTACTCAGTCTGACGAAAGCCGCAAAGAGCTATGTTATTTAAAAAAAAAAAAAAAAAAGAATGGACATACAACATTTTTAGTGTCTACCATTTGGAAAGTTCAAAAGAGATAACGGTAATAAATTCCCAAAGCCAGAAGTTCTGCACACGCTTCTCTTAACCCCTCATAAATATTTAAGACTACTTAAACCAAAACAAAATGTCACCCACAAGACAATGCAGAAACAGTCCTCTGCCTGTTTAAAAATACCAAATTACCAACAAGCACGTTAAAAATAGGAGGTTGGCTGGAGAGACGGCTCAGAATTTAAGAGCAGTGGCTGCTCTTCCAGAGGACCAGGGTTCAATTCCCAGCACCCACATGGCAGCTCACAATCGTCTGTAACAGCAGTTCCCAGAGAATCCGACGCCCTCACACATGCAGGCAAAACATCAGTACACAGGAAATAACAAGTTTTTTGTTTTTTTTTTAAGTTTTAAAAAATAAGAGTAGATAAACCCTCAATTTCATTTGATCTCTTGGATGGAAAATGGAGATCAGCTGGGGATTCTAGGGTTGGTGCGGAGGGGACTCACCTCTGAGGCCCCATCCTTGAAGCTCTCACTGTAAGTGCTGTCAGGCGTACTGCGCTGGTCGTCCTTCAGATAGGAGCTGTGGCTGGCTATCGAGGGCAGGTCATACTGAGTCTGTTCAAATATGACAACCCGCTGCTCCTCGCCATCTGCGCGGGGGTAGTGCACAGGGGGAGCCATGAACACCGGGGTGAAATCCTCAGCTTTCACCACAGTGATGCCTGACACGGGGATGACGGCCGGACTCTCCGTGATGGACACGCTGTACTGCTCGCGCTTGGAACTCTCCACGTGCTCTTGGCTCAGGCAGAGGTTCACTGGGACGGTCTTCAGGACCTGCACTCGGTTCTCTCCTCCGCTCAAGTGGCTCTGGACTTCACTGGTGCCGAGACAGTTTCTGTGTGTTCAAACCCATGACATGATAGACTAAGAATAATCTCCACTTAAAAAACTAATAAAAACCAACAAAGCAGGGGCTGGAGAGATGGGTCGGCGGTTAAGAGCACTGGCTGCTCTTCCAGGGGCCTGGGTTCAATCCCAGCACCCACAGGCTGTTCGCAACGTTCTGTAACTCTAGTTCCGGGAAATCTGACACAGTCACACAGACATACATACAGGCACAGTATCAATGTACATAAAAGTAAATAAATTATTTAAAAAGCAAACAATGCAGGCAGCTGTCTTGCTAAATCCTGAGCGGAAGGGCTGATGGGAACTTCACAACAGGGCGTTATGCATCTTTGTGTCATTATAAGACAGTGTGCTAAGTATGTGTGCTCCTGGGGGTCATAAAGTCTCAACCCTCTCTATAAAACAACTCCGACCCCACCAGGCGCACACCTGTAATCCCAGCACTCTGGAAGCAGAGGCAGGCGAATCTCTGTGAGTTTGAGGCCAGCCTGGTCTACAAAAATGAATCCAGGACAGCCAAGGCTGCACAGAGAAAGCCTTTCTCAAAAAACCAAAACCCAAAAACTCTACCTCACTTTAAAAAAAAAAGATGGCCCTAAATCTTATCATGTCTTGACGTCTATCTTTTAGCTCTCAGGAAGTAGAAGCACTGGGATACTGAATATTAAAACCAGCCAGTAAGATACACCAGGTTCCAAGGACCAGGGTAATCTATCAACAAGACAGAAGTACAAAAAAGGAGGAAGAATGGAAGGAGCAGTCTAGATTAAAAGCGACTCTTAAAACCCTAAAACCAGCCTTATGTGATGGCTCATACATTAATACCAGCACTCAGGAACAAGGCAGGTGGATCCTCAAGTTCAAAGCTAGCCAGGGTTACACAGTGAAACACTGTCTCTTTTTGTTTTGCTTTTGTTTGGTTTGGTTTTTGGTTTTTTGAGTCAAAATTTCTCTGTACAGCTTTGGCTGTCCTAGAGTTACTGGACAGCTTGAAACCCTGTCTTAAATAAATGAATACAATCTGAACATCCAATCATGATGGGTAGATATGATATGATTTTCTGAACATCCAATCACGATGGGTAGATATGACACTATTTGGATCTTGAATAAACCAACGTGGTGAGTACGAGGTGTTGCGACTTTCGAGGCGGTCTGAATTCGGCAATATTTTATATTGTTAATTTAGTTCTTGATGAGATCTTAAGTTTATGTAATAAAATGTCCTCAGTTTTTAAAGAGGCAAGGGAGAAGTAAAGATGAAATGATTTGACAGTGGGATTTCTTTTTTTCCATTTTTTTTTTAGCTCTGGCAGTCCTAATCTTACTTTGTAAACCACGTTGGCTTCAAACTAAGAAACCAGCCTACCTCTGCCTCCTAAGTGCTGGGACTACAGGTGTGTGCCACCACGCCAGGCGATGGTGGGATTTTTAAGGTGATTAAGGTAAACATGGTAGAGCTCAAGGAAAAATGGCAAAAACCTACCACTGCTGCACTGCTACCCAGGAAGGGGCTGGTCTGTACTTCTGTACGTGGACGGAAATTCCAAAAGGCAGCTCATGCTTGCAGGCCCAACAACTGGGAGCCTCTAGGAAGATTACTCAAGCGTGAGGCCAGCCTGGGTTACTTACTGAGTTCCAGGGTAACCTGGGGTACTGAGTAAGACTTTGTCTCAACCACAGAGAGGGCAGATAGACATAGTAATTTGAAGGATTGGTGGGAAGGATATTTTTCACAAGTCTATGAAACAAAATAAGAAATTATCATCAACTGAGAAATAACTGTTCACAGATATTTTAGCATTTACTTATTTAGGGTTTAAGGAAATATTTAAGTGGGCTTACGTACAATGAGCTCATTGGCCACCTCTGGAAGAAAACAGTTTAGAAAGTTAAGTTTTTGCAGGATATAATGAAATCCTTTCATTTATATTAAAGAATCTGGGTGAAATCAAAGGAGTAAAGAGGAATGTGTGATTACTTACTCACAAAGACCCTGGATCAGGTAAGCTTGTGGAAGAGCATTTGTGAATGGTTCTCAATAGAACAGAGAAGAAAAAGTATGATTTTTATTGATCCTTGTCTTTGTTCATTGTGAATTTGAGTTTCTTCATCTAGTAACTAGTGCTATTTGGGGTCAACTGGCATATTCTGTTGCAAGAAATAAATGTTTAAAAAAAATTGATTTTCTAAAGAATGAAGCTCTCTAAGTTCCATTCTGAAGAGAGAAATCTAATTATCTCTGCACTTACCTACCAAGCAAGAGTTGGTGATTTTAGCTTGATTTTCAGACAGAACTTCAAAATGAAGCTTCAGAAAGAACAACTCTACTTAAGCAAATCAAGAGGAGACAGCTAAACATCTGAGGCTATCACAGACCTGCAGCAGTGACTCTAAAAGCTAACTCCCTGAGGAATAAAATCTATAGATCTACAAGCATCATAGCTTTAAGCAAAAACTACTCTCATGGTCAAATAACAGAGTAGATCACATAGAAGATACATGAAGATTTAGACGTTATGTTTAATGTGAATCTAATGAGACAAATGGTGCCCAAATTCAGACCACCCATTTGCACCAACACTCATAAAGCCCACTGTTCTGAGTACTTCGTGGAATGTTAATAGATGCTCCCTCAAAAAAAGTAGTCCATTATAAAAATCAGTGTTAAAAAACAAACAGGAAAAAACTGTGTTGCCATAACAAGACCACCTTAGTGGATCCAAACAAGCCCGACATGATAAAAGCCCTTGGGCATCCCTTTATCTCTTTAGTTGTAATTCAGTACTTCCCTACCCCATTACCTCCAGGACCACCAATATCTGTGGATAAGGCCCTGCAGGCTGGCTGTAAAAAGGTTCTCCTATACAGATTGCTAAACACGACAATTACCCTCTGTCTGCGATATCCAAACTTCTCTTTAGTCTATTTCAGGGCCAATTTCTTTACTCTCTACTTATTACAAAAATGAATTTTAGGCAAAGAACACAGTCAAAATCTTATTATCAAATAAATAAGAAAACTACAGAGCTTATAAAGCTAGTCAAATTGTTAAGTGTAAAAAAACCACAGACTCAGGAGTCACCATCTGGTGAACTACACTTCTAGAATAGATTTAATGTTAAGACTTCATGCCACAGAATTTCAGAACAACTTCCCCAAATGGGTAAATAGAATAAAGCACAAATCTTCATTCGGAATCTCTCTCCATCCCACTGCAGGGGCAGAGACTGATGAGTGATTTGTGGGCCAATAGTTGAACAAAACATTTCAGTTCTTCTGGTCCCCTCTTTCTTGTTACATGATCCTGTCCTGAAGACAAGGGACACTTCAGCCATTCCTGACCACCACGGTAAGTGTGATTTCCTGATGAAACAGGATGGGGCAACCCCTCAGTCACAAATGGAAGGTGACAAACTGTGTGTCCAGAAATAAAGCTGTCACCACCCCTCCCCTTTTAGTCTCAGTTCATCTATGTCTTCTTGCCACCCAGCTTCTTGGCTCCACCAGGCACAAAAGCCAGATGACATATGACCTCCTAACACCTTGGTGGTGCTGGCAGTGCCCCAGTCTGCGCTAGCTGCCTCCCTGAGCTCATTAACCACTTTTTCTCACCAAGGGGAATCCTTGAGAGTCTCTCATTCCCTTAAGGGCCAGACTGCAGGAAAGAGTGTGAAACTGGGCAGAAAACTGCATTCAATAGCAGGCTTTTACTGGAAATCACCTCCTCATCAGCTCTTCATCTGAGAGAGTTTGCTGGTGACCCTCTGGATGTACAGGCAAAAATATGCCATTTGCTCTTTCTAGCAAGAGATCAAGCTTTGGTCCAGCCTCCCAAAAGACAGAAGAAGCAGGGTTTTTTGGCCCTACCTCTTCTGAAAAGCTAATTTCCAGCTCAAGTTATATTTTTAATTTAATTTTCATGCATATGAATGTTTTGCCTGCAGGCATCTACATGCACCATTTACATATCTGGTACCCATGGAGATTGGAAAAGGGTGACAGCTCCCCTAAAACTGGAGTTAGGAAGGTTGTGAACCACCATGAGGGTGCTAGGAATCAAACCCAGGACCTACGCAAAAGCAGCCAGTGCTCTAAACCATTGAGCCACTCTTCTTTACAGGTAGGGGGTAGGTAGTTTCTTGAGACAAGGTCTCTCTATGTAGCCCTGGCCATCTTGGAATTTGAAGTGTAGATCAGGCTAGCCTCAAACTCTGACACCTGCCTCTGCTTCCAAGTGCTGGGATTAAAGGCATGTGCCATTGTGCCTGGTTTTCTTTTTACAAAAAAAAAAAAAAAAAAAAAAAAATAGAAAAGAAGTTATTCCTAAGGGACAAATATTTGCTGCATCATACCTTTTATCCGGGTCTTCTTGGTTGTCACTTGCTTTGCTCACAGACAGAAGTCTCTTGTCTCGAGGAACCTGGAAATTAGAGGTCAACCATCAGCCAGACTTGCTGAGTGTGTGCATAGGCAGACACCAACACAGGCAAAGAACACTTCCTTTTTGAAGATGAAGAGGTTATGGTCAGAAAATGGTTAAGACTGAGTAGCCTGATAGGCTGGAGAGATGGCTCAGAAGTTTAAGAGCATTGGCTGCTCTTCCAGAGGTCCTGAGTTCAAGTGCCAGCAACCACATGGTGGCTCACAACCATCTATAATGAGATCTGGTGCCCTCTTCTGGCCTTCAGATGTACATGCAGGCAGAACATTGTATACATAATAAATAAATCTTTAAAAAAAAAAAAAGAGAGGCCAGAGGAAACCACAAAGAGGTGACCAGTGTAGGCTCATGATAACTGTAATTCAGCTGACCTAGGACCCTCCTATGTGCTCCCAGCCTTAGGCATGGGTGAGGGGAAGAGCCATGTGTGTGGAGTAAAGATGGGTATGAAAGAGCGCAACCCATTAAGGAGGAGTAAGTTTTCTTGCTGGAGCTGGACACCAGGCTGACCAGGGGTTGGGGAAGACACTGGGCAGGCAAGGGCCTTACAGTTCAACTAGTGTGATAATGAGACTCTAACAGGAGTGCTCCCTAGCCACGCCACTCCCTAGGAAGCTTGCCTCCAGTCTTTCTGATGTATCACATTCCTAACTGTGATGCCAACATCTCACCTGACACATTATTGAAAAGCACTAATGAGAAAAGGGAGATTCCACTATCTCCAGACAAAATTGGATTTGGTTGAGTAGGTAGATATTTTTGCATTTGCTTTTGGACTTGAGTGTTTGCTTGCTTCTGGCTAACTTTGAAGAGTTTCTTCTGAACCACTAGTCTCACTGTTGAGACAAACACACATTTTTGGGAAGTATCCTTCTAATGTACTCCTCAAGAAATTCCTATAAGTTCCACTCAACCAAATACAAAAGCTGAGATGGCTGAAGTAGGGAAGTAGCCAAAATGGGGCCAAGTTGGAAACCTATAGTTTGATCACTCATGCTCAAAAGCAGCTGAAATGTGGGAAGTCACATACAAAAGTCTACGGCTCTGCCAGCTCCTACGGACCTGCTTGTTTATGTCTCACAAGCATGTCTCTGGTGGAATAAAAGAACCATTTCACATTTACTACGATAACGTGACAGCAAATGTCAGAATAATTTCTAAAGCTTAGAGTTTAAAAGGAGAATGATTCTATTTCATCAACTGATCTCCTTGAGAAAAGCATCTGTCTCTCACAGGACAGTCACCTCTTTCTGAATTCCAAAACAGAAAGATGTGACTGTGCAGGGAACTAACAAGGACTTAGTGCCATCATTCAAACCCACTGTTCAAACAAAAGAGACTAGTTCTAGCTGCCCATGGTGGGGATCACCTATCCTAGCACCTGGGAGACAGAGGTAGAAGGATTTCTGTGAATGTTGAAGCCAGCCTGGTCTACATATCGAGTTCTAGGACAGTAAGAGGTATACAGAGGGATCCTGCCTCAAAAACAACAAAAAGACTAGCTCTTTCCTTAGGCACTAAAAGGTTTCAGACAAAAAGATACAAATCTTTCATGAAATATAAGGAACCATATAACTTAGGAGTTAGTCACAAGTTCTTAGGAGAGACAGACAAAAGGAACAAAGTAGATTTAGGTATCAGTTTTGTGTTAATTCTATACCTTGCATCCCAAAATATTTGCAGACAGGTTTGAGCCTGAATCATGATGTTTGCAAATGGATATACTTAGTATCACATTTTCCAACATTCAACTACCCAGTTGTGGTAAACCAAATATGTTCCCTTGTAAATTAACTACTAATTACTTATTTCTCAAGGTATGCTTCTCTTTTTTACTAATACAAATCCAATATAACAACAAACACAAGTATTTGAAATTGTGCCCATTTCACAGCAAGAACAAAATCTATTTTAAAAATAAAATCAATGAGGTGAGGGACACGGTGTCGTGTGTAGAGTGTAGCACAGGCCTGATGACCTGAGTTGGGTCCCAGAACCCATATAAAAGTCTGGATGGAGTGGCACACATCTGTGATACAGCATTCTTACCCTGAATTTGGAGGTGGAGACAGGTAAGCAGACAGAAGCCCAAGGACTAGCTAGCCAGGTGTCTGCAGCAAAGCAGCACAAACAAAAGTTCTCTCTCTCTCTCTCTCTCTCTCTGTCTGTATCTCTGTGTCTCTCAAACACATACTAAATACATTTACTAAAGAAAAAAAAGAATAAAAACAATGTATTTCTTCTAAATATACCAACATATTTCTTTAAAGCGTTTTAAAACTATTAATTATCATATTGATCATAAAAGTCAGAAAAGAAATTGTCACAACCTTTATACTTAAAACAGGAACATTTTAATTATATGTCAACAGATTTTAATTGATAAAACTGTTAAATTTTTACTATTTTTCTGTTATAAAGGAAAACTGTTTTTCCTTTTCTAAGCATCAGACTAAAACAAGCAAACAAGAAGACACATAGCATGCCAGGAATGAGCTAGGTTGGTAAATGAAGCGTTCTCTACCCTTATACCAGTCTCTACAAACTTCAACATGCTTTCATTTCAGATTTCAGAGCTGTTCCTGTGCTTTTCTTTTCTTCTTTCCCACCAAGAAAGGGTGTTTCTGTATAGTCCTGGATATCTGGGAATTTGACCTGTAGACCAGCCTGGCCTGGAACTTAGAGATCTGCCTACCTCTGCCTCTCGGTGCTGGACTAAAGGTGTGCCCACCTCTAAGAACAGGCTGTCAGTCTGCCAACAGCTAGGAGGAGAAAGACATCCTAGACCAGCAAATGTACCAGTGAAGTAACCTGCAGTTTCTAACAATAAATAATGTACTTATTTGAACTGATAACGTCCCTAGTCCCTCATACCTTGCTCTCTACAATAGGAAGCAGAGAACCAAGGTCAAATTGTTATTAATGGTTTTGTCCAAAGCTGATTTCCCACAATGGAAGGAGACTGAGAGGTGGCTGTCAGGTCTTAGTTTAGGATCGCCAACTGGCAAGAAAGCATTCCCAGCATCCTGCAACTGCCAGCACTGGCTAAAGTCATCGGTAATCACAGCAGCCATGGAGCTCTTTATTTGCTAAATAAACTTGCTGACTTTTTACACCTCACCAGTTCCCAGAGGGCATTGTTACATATAATTCTTTATACTTAAAACCCACTATTGCTTGCTTAATTTCCTGAGATACTCTTACTTTGAAACTACTGTGTGACCAGTATTTCCCCTAATGTTACATTCAGTTTTAAAGACTTTTTCAAAATGGAAACAAAAGGAGACAATCAGGGCTAGAGTTGTTGAACACCCCTCACTAATGCCCTCATTGGGATGATCTCCAGAAAGTAGAGACATATAGGCACCTGGATGATTCTTATTAAACTAAAAAATCTAGAAACTTAATAATCACTGATCATGGAACCACTACAAAAAGTGAAGTTCCTAACCATGAAGCAAAATGACAGAAGGGAAATAAGTAATATTCCAGCTCATGGGGATCTGAAGCCCTTTTCTGGTTTCTTCAGACAGAGAGATAGACACGTAGACACACACATACACACTCACACAAGAGGGGGGGGAAGAATTTTAATTCAAAACATGGCTGCCCTAGCAAAAGAGATCACATCCAAAGACCTTCTATGTCTGTGTGATCTGAATGAAACACAGACAAGGCTTTAATCCCAGGAGACAGAGGCAGCAGATTTCTGAGTTCAAGGGCAGCCTGGTATAGGACAAGTTTCAGGTAAAGAAAAGCTTAGGTCCAGGCATGGTAGAGGCATGCAGATCTCTGAGTTCTAGTCAGTTCTGTTAAGGAATCTGGTTCAATCAGTGAGTTGAGAGGCAGAGCAGGGGAGCTGAGTCCATGGCCGTTCAGTTCAAGGAATTCAGAGGCAGTTTTGCTGGGAGAATTTTTCAGAGACAGGTGGGAGAGAAAACAAGCTAGACACAGGTGAAGACTGAATGAGCAAGACAATGAGGAGACAGAGATTAAAACAGACTGCTAGAGTTATTTTGAGGTCAAGCAGAGCAACCGAACTGAGAAACTGAGAGAAGCCATATTGAATCTGTCAGCTTGGAGAGGAGTTTGAGCCAGAACAGCTAAGCTGAACCAGCAGCCAGAGTTCAGAACAACAAAAGAAAGAGTGAGCTTATTTATTCAGCAGCTAATCTCAGAGGCTGAAAGCATTCTAGGACTAGATTAAATTGTGTGGAGGTTAGAAGCTTCCAGGACTAGGCCTAGGTTAGCAGGTAAGGCAGTAAGCCTCCAAGACAACAATACCTCAGGATAATAAGTTACTTTAAGATATATATAGATATACAGAGAGATTTTCTTTTAAAGAAAGAAGTGTGTCCACTTGGGGGTGGTGACACACGACTTTAATCCAGCACTTGAGAGTTTGTAAAGCCCAGTAGATCTCTGCAAGTTCAAGGTCAGCCAGGGCCACATAGAGGCACCCTGTCTTGAAAAACCAAGAGAGTATCTCCTAATTAAAACTTTTGTGTGGTCATGAAATTGGGTTTCATGGGGGCTGGGGGACAAAAAGAAGCAGAATTCCACCCAAGTCCACTGGCCTAGTACAAAGAATCTATTCCACCTTACCATGGGTAAAATGAGGCCTTGGAGGCAGGGAGAGGAGGGAGGCTGGTCTACGGGGCCCACCTTGTAGTAGTCATAGAGAAGGCCTAGGGCAGCAGCACTGTCCTCATCCCCGTTGATGCTCATCATGGCTTTGGTGGCCGCAGTCAGCGGATTCTCCAGGTATGACTTCCAGGCTTCATCCTCACTTGTATAGGCTCTTCGGTTATTGAAGGGAGGGTCACCAGGCATGGGCACTAAGGCCACTAGTCTTTTATTACTGTAAAAAAAACAGGGAAATCTAAGGCTCATTATGAGGGAATGTTGCAGTTTCTCTGATACCATACAGGTCATGTAGTTGCACTGATCTGTAGTTCCCGAGAGCGAGGCAGGTTAAAGCTGAAATGATCACCACACTGCACTAAGAAAGCCTCCACCTACATCTTCACTGTGAATGAAGAGTAACAGCTTTTAAAAGGTAGTTTGGTTTGAGGTAAAAACAGTAGTAAAGAGCGCTTACTGCACTTCCGGAAGACCCAGGTTGCGTTCCCAGCATCCACATCAGGCAGCTCACAACCACCTGTAGCTACAGCTCCAAGGGAATCAGACGCTCTGTAGCCTCCCCAGGCACTCAACTCATGTGGTGCACATAACCTCACTCAAACACACATAACAAACAAACATTTTTTAAGGGTAGATCGTGTCTTAGTTAGGGTTTGGGGTTTTTTTTTTTTGTTTGTTTTTCTAGTAAAACACTGTGACCAAAAAGCAGGTTGAGCAGAAAAGGGTTTATTAAGCTTACACTTCCACATTGCTGTTCATCACTGAAGGAACTTAGGACACGAACTCAGGCAGGGCAGGAACCTGGAGGCAGGAGCTGATGCAGAGGCCATGGAGGGATGCTGCCAACTGGCTTGTTTCCCATAGCTTGCAGCCTGCTTGCAGGAACCAAGACCACCAGCCCTGGGCTGGCAGCACCTATCACAGGCTGGGGCCTCCCCGACTGATCACTACTTGAAGTGATTCCTTACAGCTGGCTTTCCTGCAGGCGTTTTCTCACCGAGGCTCTCCCATCTCAGACGAGTCTAGCTTGTGTCAAGTTTACACACAATGCCAGCCAGTACAGTACACCTACTTATTTTATGCCGGTTTCTTTCAAACTTGGCTTTCTGAACCTAATCATTCCCAGTAATTTAATTATTCTTCATTAATGAGCACTAGGATAGAACCCTGTGAGAGAATAATTTTCCTTTAAATTCTAATTTAAAACATTAACTATGTATAGTCGACAGGTTAATGATTCAAATTGTTTTGTTTTCATCTTGCTTGAAATCCCTGGCAAATTATAGATAATATAAATCTCCTAATTAGCACGGCACCATAAGACACTTGGCGAACACAACACATTACATACAGATAACGCTGTGTAGTAGAGCTGTGGAGGTACAGTGAGAATATGGACTCTGAAGTGATGACCTCATCACTGCAGGACTCTACTGCATTTAGATGATATGGAAGTGTTATGTTACTAAGCCCAATGGGGAGACTGATGGCGTAGTTGGCACGAATCAATTCTACCAAGGCAAACCTTGTTAAAGCAGCAATCCACAAGGCAAGGTCTAAGGTCAATGAGACAACAATGACTCAGGTACCTACAGAACATAGTCCTTTGCAGCTCCCCATACATGGCTGGCACTGAGCTCCCAAGTCTGGAGAAACTCTGACACTCATTTCTTGGCTCTTTTTTTTTTCACTCACTGAAAGGGAACAATGATACACTGTATTCAAGTAACACTTACTTGGGACAGTCACATGACATGAATATGCAGCAATGCTGGTGACAAAATAACAACAATCAATGGAAATCCAGCTGCCAACACCTTCTGGTGGTCACAAAGTTCCAAAAGGGTTGGTAGTCCCTTGGCTCCCTTGGTGACAGAAGATGGTGAACACTCAAAGAACAGTGTATTAAAGGCCCTTGGTGTGCTGGCATGGTGCTGTACATTGGGGAGACCAAAAGTGACTTTCACATTGCTAGGGTTTGTTTGAGATGGGGATGGAGCAGGTGGGAAGAACATTTATCTGGTTTCACAGTCTCTGGCCTTTGATTTAAGCTCTGTGGCAGTGGTTTCATAGAACAGATTAGGAAGAAAGAAAGAATATTGATTCCATTGTAAATAACATGGACACGAAGTATTTTTGAGTTTCCTTGGAGTGAGACAAATAGTAACTGGGCGGTGTGTTGACTAGTGTCACTGGCTCTGGAGGCTTATATCATTGTTCTGTTTTGGTTCCCTTTCAGTGAATATGGAAAAAAGGGCCAAAAATGAGTGTCAGAGCCTCATTAATATGCTCAATCAATAACTGGGTCCTGGAGAAGATGCAGTGCTCTGAAAATAGCGGGCACTGCCACCTCCTTAGTGTTCCTATCACATTTCTGTGCCTTTCAGGCTTTGTTAAAGTTGATTATAGTTTATCAACACTAAAAGCCAATATTCTCATTAAAGAAAAACAAAAATTGTTCGTCTAGTTCTGGGCCATGAGCATTTGTTGAGAGCCCAATAGGTGGCACTCGTGCTACTGGGCATGGAGGGAGGGACGAACAGGGCTGACACTGTCACCCACAGTGCCTAGCAAGGGGCAACCATTATGCAGGGGCCAGGGATGTGAGAAGGAAAGTCACTCCTAAAAGACGGGAGACGCATGCTGATCCTTGATGAGAGGGAGAGGTGGGAAATATTTTTTAAATAAATATATATCATCATTCAAAATGGAATTTTTTATTTAGAGAAAGTATGTTTATATTCATTTGGGGACGTCGACTGGCTGGGGGGAACCTATCTTTTCCTAAAAAGAACATAGCATTTCCAGTTCGTAGAAAATGACTGATGACAGAGGGTAAGTTACACACGCAGGCTGAAAGTGTCTGAGCAGAAGAAATGAGGCCCGGGGGAGAACTGGGGTCCCAGGCTGTGATAGTGCCCCCCCAAAGTTGTTTACTTGGGCCGCCCTTGTCTACATTTCACTGCAAAAGTGAAACAGAAGACAAAGTACAGTCATTCTTGGGAGAGTCCGCAACACGCATGCTTTCCTGAAACACTCAGTGCAGCAGCAGTAAGGAGTCTTGCAAGGTGGTTACGCCAAGACTTAGAAACAGGTTCAAAAACTCAAAATCCGCAGCATGGTTTCAGCTGTGTACTGCTTTTGTGTCATGGTAAGATTTAACTCCGAAGTTAAACCGTTGACTCTAGAAGGCCATACTGAAAGGAATGAAGATGGTTTCCTCGGTCACACTTGAGAAAAGCTCATCCACTGTGCAGAGGAGGGCGCTGGCTCAGTTCAAACTTTTAGCAGGAAGTGGTGGCCTGATTTAGTGCAGAGATTGCTCTTGATTCTCTCTCTTAGTATCCAGTTTCTTCCTGCTGCCTCTCTCTCTCCCTGGCACAGTCCACTGGTGACTTTAGGAGTTTAACTAGTGTCTCCTTTAGGTAAATCCTTGCATGATAAATACGGGAAAAAAATCTTGAGAATCACAATTTCTCTTCACTTTTTTTCTCATAGTGCAAGGAGTTCAAGGGCTTTTTATGCTCTCTCTTTTAACTATGCAATGCTTGTTTTATTCTTCAAAGATTATAGTCTCTCTGACACAGAACTCTGTAGAATAGATAGAAATGAAAGTGCATAGAAGAGCATTTACCAACTAGAAATGCTTTTTAAAGGCAAGTTTTATCACCATTCACCAGGAAAAACAGGCTCTCTCTGAGTAACCCAAGCTGTCCTGGAATGCAATCTGATCTACAGACCAGGCTGGCCTTGAACCCAAGAGATCTGCCTGCCTCTGCCTTTCTCAGTGCTGGCACTAAAGGTATGTGCTACCATGCCTGGCTTGCTTCAGGCAATTCTTCGGCATCTTTAGGAGACCTTGTAAAGGCATCACAAACTGGGTGGCCTTGCACACAAAACTCTAAGCAAATGTGAACTTGATCTCTGGTTCCCTCTTTGGGGAAAAAAAAATGTAGATGAGCACCAGAATACTGACAGCAAAGTTCAGGCCACTCACACCACCTTCTGTGTTCTCTGGCCTACTACTTGGTTCTGTGAACACAGGGTAGGAAGCAAGGCTGAGAAGCGAGTCATCAACTGCAGTAGTGAAAGGAGCAGTGCCCAAGCAGACCTTAGCCAGCTAGCTACCAGGGACCTCTGGTCCCCTGTCAGGGACAGCCCTCCACTGCCTTAGAGAGGTAAGGGGAGCATGCACAAAGACTTGGTTAGGAAACACAGGAAACTTAGCCCATGACATCTTCAAACTCTAAAAATGTGTGTCCATCATGTTAAATCAGTCACCATATCCATGACAGCTTGGAAATCTGGTAGATCAGATCCAAACCCCTCCCTCTAATATTTTTTCTCCAGTATCATTATCTAGTCCCAGTTTACTTATTAAAAATCTGTGCCTTCTACTTTTCTACTTACTTAATGTGGAGAATTAAACTGTCTTCTCTGCCATACCTTGAAGATACCCATTCTTCCTTGAAGATGCCCTTTCTTGTTTCCAGGGCTTAGCACAGGTTCTCTACCCCTCCCCCACCTCTCTTCCTCCCTCCCTCTTTCTGAATAGACTTTAGAAGTTTCCCCTTGCCAAGAGCTCCCAAAGCATTTGTATTATTACTACATAACCTATCTACCTTTAAATTTTCATTACATAAAAACTGCCAGGAACACCAAGAGGACCCACCAAGGACACCAATAAGGTGGCATTCCACTGATCAAAACTGTACAGCAGCTTCCACGTGTGGTCCTCTTTTCCTGACCTACCTTGGGTTCCCAAGCCTCCGCAGCATCACTCTAAGGATCCAGAAGGTCCTCACTGGCTTTGCCTTAGTTTCCTTCCACCCTACTCCCAAGCGCACTCCCCTGCATACTCATATCTTCTCTGGTAAACTCTCCTAGAAGTCCAGGCAGCCACTAATACTCAAGACACTTAATATAGACCTTTTAAAACATGTTTGTTATCTGTTTACAAAAAAATGATGCAGAAGATGGAGCTAAATTCAGATCCTGGACCGAGCACTAGCTAGCTGTTGTTACCTGTCTATATCTCAGCTTCCCCATTTGTGGAGATCTGTTAGGTTAAATGAGAAAAATGCGTGTGGTGCTCCTAGCAGAGACTAAGCAGAAAGCTTTGGCTTCTAACTAGGTGCAAAGAACATTAGAAAAGAGCAAGACAAGGTGGGAAAGCAAAAAATCTTATCTCCAACCAACACTACACCCTTCAAGTCC